AAATTTGTGACAAAAATTAATCTTTGAAGAAGCGTACAAAAAAAGAGTCCACTCGTGCCTCCATATGACTTAATGGATCTTGTAGAAAATTCAAGTCTTTATCAAATATATAGCCTGGTTATCTGCGCGTGGGTGCGTATTCTATCCAATCTTGATTCTTAGACAAAAACAAAAGGACTGCAGCAACGTTTTAAACGATAAAATGTGATTTTTGGCATGTTGGTTAACCAATTTTATGAACAATACTTTAAACGACGACTAATTTATGCATATATTAGCATACATATATGCATGGTAAAAGTGGATGTGTGTAACGCGGAGAAGGAAATGTTTCCGACGCCATAAAGTATATATATTCTTGATCAGCATCAATAGCCGAGTCGATATGGCCATGTCTGTCTGTCCGTCTGTCTGTCTGTCCGTCTTGTTAAGCCCCTAAATCTTAGAGACTATAAGAACTAGGGCAACCAAAATTGGGTTTCCAGACTCATGTGATATCACTTTGCTACAAGTGTATTTTCAGTTGTGTCTGTCCGTCTGTCTATCTCGATGATCGCCTAGATTTCAGAGACTAAAAGAGCTAGGGTAACCAAATTTGGTTTCCAGACTCATGTGATATCTCACTGCTACAAGTGTATTTCAAAATTTCGCCCCGCACCCTTCCGCCACCCCAAAGGACGAAAATCTGTGTCAAACACAATTTTATATGGGTATATCGACTCGACTATTGATGCTGATCAAGAATATCTTTTAATTTTTTTAATTTTTTAGGTTTGGCTAATGGTTCTCACTTATTAGCTCCAAAGTTTCTCCTTAGATTTTAGATTTAATGAGCAATACCTTAGACGACGATTAATGCACTTATACACAAAAAAATGGAGAACACAGGATATAATTTTTTTTTCGACTTTTCCTGAGTTTTTAAAGTCGAAATTTCGTAAAAATTGAGCACAAAAATCATCATTTTTGAGTTTCAATGCTTTTTATATCCCAGACGGTAAGCTGAAATCACAAAGTGTTTGGGCTTAACAATTTTTTTCAAAGTAGCAAAGTTCTTTACAACCAGACGCAAAATACTAGAGTTATGTGAAAAAAGAAGTGCTACCTCTGAAAAAAGCTTACAAAAAAAGTACCAGTTTTCAAAAATTCAAAAAGTCCCATATCTATTAGAAAAAGTTGGTTTGGATCCAAAAAAAGTTCGATTTTATCGATTAGTGTAATATTTATCAAGCTTTTCCTTGGTTTCGGTCGTGGGTTTTTTCCAACAAAAAATATGCTTAATCAGCACACGAAATTCACTTTTTTCGGATTGAATCATTAATATAGCCAAAATGAAGAAATTAATTTTCAGATGTAAAAGATGTAAGATGTAAAATCTACATTGTAGATGTACAGATAAAGTATTTACAAATTCCACACAAATCATAAGCTTCCATTTATACTAACTGAGTAACGGTTTAAAAGTAGAGCCGAGCAAACAGAACCGACTCACAGCGATCCTCCTTGTTTTTTTCACATAACTTAACTATCTTAGCTCTGGTTGTAATGGTGTATGCCATTCTGACAAGCTGATAAGTGCAGCTATTATGTGGACCTGAACACTTTGAAGCTTCAGCCTACCGTCTGGGGAAAAGAAAGCTTTCAAATGCAAAATTTAACATTTTTGTGCGGTATTTTTACATTTCTTGCCCAACTGCTAGTTTAGTTATGACTTCAGTTTACAAAAATACTAATACAAATTGTCTGGTTTCCCAGCCTGAAATTCCCCAACAAGTTTCTAAATAATAGCCAGTGGCGAAAAATAACGTAATACCACCATTGTTTGCTATTTGCATTGCCACTGCATATAAATATTTTAACCGCTTACAATTACTACTCGGCTCAGTAGCAGCCAGAGTTCTATCGCTTCTTTCGTTCTCTATCTCGCTTGCATTAGGGCACGGAACGCGATCAGGTGCCAAATGTACAACCCTTTTTCGTTTGCTTTGTTCCCAATTGGCAGTTGGGCCCGCAACCATCGAAAAGGTATTTTTTGTTCATTTTTTCCATATTTTAGGTTTGGTTAACGAATTTTAGCTCCAAAGTCTCTCCATATATTTTAATGAACGATACCTTAAACGACGCCAAATTAATGCACCTATATACAAAAAAAAAAAGGACACAGGATATAATTTTTTTTCGACTTTTGCTGAGTTTTTAAACTCAAAATTTCGTAAAAAATACCGCACAAAAATCATCATTTTTGCATTTCAATGCTTTATATTTCCCAGACGGTAAGCTGAAATCACTAAGTGTTTGAGCTCAACTTCTAGCTGTTTCAGTTATCTTTTCAAAATAGCAAAATTATTTATAACCAGACGTAAGATACTAGAGTTATGTGAAAAAAACAAGCGCTACCTCTGAAAAAAGGTTAAAAAAAAATAACAGTTTGAAAAATTCTTAAAAAAAAAGTTCTGCCAAAGAAAAAAAAAAAATATCATCAAACCATTTCTAAGCCCCAAATCTTTAAGAAAAAGTTCGTTTTGTTCCTTGAGGAAAAATCTTGTTGACTAGTGTAACCATCCCTCTATTCTGGCTTCTTCTGACATACTTTGTCCCAATCAATCTTATCCTTTTCTCATGAATAGTTCTAACTCTATCTATCCCCCCTTCATGACTATAATGACCTCTTAATTTTCGTTTTCTACCGGCCCCGATATGGTTCCTAGTGCTGTTCTTAAACTTTGTGCAGGTTCTCTCTGTATGCCCCTCTTTAAACTGTTTAACCTATCTCTCGAGCCCAGCGATTTTCCCACCGGCTGGAAAGAGTCATATATTATTCCCATTCATAAAAAGGGGTCTAAATCGGATGTTTCTAATTGCTGTGGGATCTCCCATTTATCTGCCATTCCCAAACTCTTCGAAAAAATAATTACTTCCCAGCTCCAACACTTTTGTTGTTCCTTATTCTCTGAATCGCAGCATGGCGACCCCATGTCCCCGTTATGTCTACAATCCGATCTTGACGCCCTCAACAACTGGTGCTTAATAAAAATTCTTCCCCTTGAATATTCATAGTTCCTTAAAACGCCTTTACAAAATTCCTGACTTGGGAACTATCTTTGTACCTAATCTGTGTTATAGCTCACACGTATCCGCTATTTCGAATAAAGCCAGAGGTGTCCTGGGCATTATCAAAATATGGTCTAAGGAGTTTACCGACCCTTATACCAGTAAACTTATATATGTATCCCTTTGTCCTTGAATACGGTTTCGCGCTTGGTCTCCGCATTATCAAAAATAGCAGGATATGATTGAGTCCGTTCAAAAATAGTTTATCCTTTTTGCACTTCGTGGCTTTAATTGGGACCTCCGGCTCCTCGATATCCGCTCTCTCAAAACCCGCAGGATTTTCTATGGAGTTCATTTTCTTCACAAAGTTCTCGCTGGTGACGTTGATTCCACTGCGCTCAGTAGCCTTATTAGCATTTATTATCTTTTAAAATAGTTTAATAGCTCAACATTTGGTGACCCTGTCGTGATTTGTACAATAAACGATTCGGTTGTGCATATCACAAACTATAACTTTACATAATAATTTGCCGTTCGTTCGTTTGGTTTCGCTTGCCTACTGTGTCCACTCAGTGTCATCGACCATATAGCTGTCTTCAAGCATTTTCACCGGCCGCACTTACATACATTACATCCACACATAGCTGTCGGCAGTCTTTACCGTCTATTTCGCGTGTTGCTCTTTTCGGTCATCTTTCCGCTAGAAACGTTTCTAACTCTGTTCTCTGCTTACACTAAGTCCATCCCAATATTGGCCTATTGGAGGGAGTGGAGCTGCCGTGAAGATGGGCAGCTACAATTGCTTTAGTATCACTGAAAACTCAGGCCACATTTTGGGCTTTACTAATTCCAAAACTCCATCTTCAATTACAGAGAGCCCTGCCGATCTGGAAGTGATCTGTCTAGCGCTTTTGAATGGCGGCTCTCTCTCTTTGTTTCCTGAGCCTATCGCAATATGCCTGATCTTGTGTCAATTGGATGTGTCAATTGGTGGATTCCACCTTTGTTTGCTATTTGCAGTGCCCACTACATATAAATATTGTAACTGCTTATAATTATTTACGGCATTCTCGCATTCTCTCTCTCTATCTATCGCTCGTACTCGGCTCAGCAGCAGCCCGAGCTTCTATCGCTTCTTTCCTTCTCTATCCTGCCCTCTTTTGAGTCTTTAATTGATCGTCATCATTATCGAAATCACGTTATATAGTCTGGTATTGATCTTCGTCACTATTGGTCTCTATACTTGTACCAATAATATACATATGCGTACTGCCGCTACTACATACCAATAAATTATTATTTGTATTAAATCTTCTCGGCTCTTTTTATTAAAAATTAGGCCTCAATAGCTATTAAAAACGCTTAATAGCTCAACAAAAATGTTAAATTTTGCATTTGAAAGCTTTCTGTTTCCCGGACGGTAGGCTGAAGCTTCAAAGTGTTCAGGTCCACATAATAGCTGCACTTATCAGCTTGTCAGAATGGCATACACCATTACAACCAGAGCTAAGATAGTTAAGTTATGTGAAAAAAACGAGGAGGAACGTTGTGAGTCGCTTCTGTTTGCTCGGCTCTACTTTCAAACCGTTAGTCAGTCAGTATAAATGGACGCTTACGATTTGTGTGGAATTTGTACGTGTAACACCACAAAATACATGATTGTAAGCATAGAATAACTTTTAGATGCCGAAACCGACTTTGCTTGAGATTTCAGTTTACGTAAATGCGTGTGTGCCATGTATTCTCACATACTGGGCTTGTGTGGGTTCTACAATTTTTGGCCGCTTGAATTGGTGTAGCGTCCTGAGCTGACCTGCCGCAACATAAATGAGGAATGGGCAGAGTGGGTAGGGGTGGGAAATAAATACAATATATTAAAATAAAAAATGTTATTTGTTTGATTTAATTGAAATTGCACATTTACATATACATATTCCTAATTTAGACAGGTTTCTTTTATAAATTGTGCAAAGCCGTCGACCTATTCAGGGCCGGATCAACCTTCAACCGGGCCCTGGGCAACCATAAATTTGGGCCCTCCGTTTGTTTGTTTGTTTATTTTAATTTTCCTAGTCACAAAAATTTCAATACGATTAATTATTAAATTAAATTGGATTAGATAGTTCCTATAGCTAATTTTGAGTATGTTATGTTTCTTGCTTAATTTTATACACATTTTTAATTCTAAATTTAAATTTAAATATCTCCTAAACATAATACATTCTTAATTTTATTTTGAGTTATGTTATTCTTTTAATGTAGAGTTTTCAGATGTATGGTAAATTTGTCCTGAATTTTAATGCGTCTACAGTTTTTTTTAAGCTATTTGGTAATTGGTTCCATAGGCGAACAGTGTAAATGAAAAAGTATCTTTCAGGGCTAGCTAACCTGTGTTTAAGACATACTATATTATTTGTTCTCCGTGATGCAGTAAACCTTAGTATGTCTGATAGATATGGTGGTTCTTTCTTGATTATAATTTTATGTAAAAATATTAATGCTCGCGAGTCAATCCATTTTGTTAAACCTATACCAAAAATTCTGCCTGCATGAGTGGTTATATGCTCCCTCCATCTTATATTAAATACATATCTTGCTATACTATTGAATACGACGTTCAGTTTTTGCTTACAAGTACTATCACAGTTTGCAAATAGCTCTACACCATAAAAAAGTGTTGGTATCAATAGTGTTTTAGCAACTAGGAGACGAATATTTTCTTGAAAGTAACGTTGTGTCATGTTTAAAGTTCTTAGCAAACCATAGGTTCTACCTACGACCTTTATGATGTGATCATTCCATGTAAGCATGCTATTAAGAACCAGGCCCAGATTATTTGCTGTTGTTGTGTATGTCATGGTATTATAATTTATTTTTATTTTGCGTAGGTTAGTAAATTCGACTTTCCTCTTTGAGATTACTAGGCATTTAGATTTAGTTGGGTTTATTCCCAGTCCGTTATTGTTTGCCCAACTGTTTATGTTTGTTAGTTCCCTATTGGTTATTATTGCACACTTATTTATATTATTTACGGGACGGCATACATACATTTGGACGTCATCAGCATATAAATTGACTTCACACTCAGACAGTACATTGGGAAGGTCATTTACATAAACAGTAAACAATAATGGTCCAAGGATAGATCCTTGCGGAACTTCTCTCGTAGGGGACAGAGATGACGAGTACCCAAATTTCGTGACTACAGATTGTAATCGATGAATGAATGAATTAGTTCGGTTGCGGTGCTGTCCAGTCCATATAGACTTTGAAGTTTTTTACACAGAACCTCGTGATTGACGGTATCGAATGCTTTGCTATAATCTAATAATGTCAAGAATGCCACCTGTCCTTCATCAATTTTTTTACGGATGTCTTCAGTGACTTTAAGGATTGCAGAAGTACAACTCCTGTTTTTCCTAAACCCCGATTGTTTTTCATTAAGCAGTTTATTACTTGCCATATAGATAATAAGTTGGGTTGAGAGCAATCGTTCAAGAACTTTTGAAAGAAAAGGCAAAATGGCAATCGGTCTAAATTCGGTATTGGAATTATTTTGGCTGCTTTCCAGGCCTGAGGAAATGACGAACTCATTATTGCACTATTAAAGACATGTGTTACATATAGTATTATCTTTGGTAGCAGTGGTTTAAGAAATTTGGGATTTATATCATCTGGTCCTGTTGCACTAGATTTAATTTTAAGAATCGACCTTACAACATCATATTTGGTACACACATTCAAAGCTAAATCTATTATCACAGTAAATATCACGGTCAAGGTATACGTTATTTATTACAGTAGGTACGGTAGATTGCACAAATTTTCTGTTCAAATCATCAAGGTCGATATCCACCTGTGGTGATTTCGGCATCTGTTTGCCGACTTTAATTCCTGCAATTTTTGGCTAGTTGAAATGATTTCATGAAATTTGGTCGTGTAATAGTTAGTTTTAGCTTTCTTAATGCTATTCTGCACTTTTTGTCTCGCTTCCTTAAACATGGCGTAGTGATGGCTTGTCTTGTATCGTTTCCATCACTCATAAGCAACATTTCGAGCATTTGTTAGCAATTTTATATTGTCAGAAAACCAGGGCTTTAAAGACGGCCTAATAGTGCGTGATTTAGTTGGTACAAATTTATTGTAAAGGTACAGTATGTTATTATGAACTAATGAAACTTGTTCGTCCAATGAGGTTGTAGCAAGGATGCTATTCCAGTCCAGTTGGTCACATTCAGCACTTAACGAAACCTAGTCAATATTTTTAAATTCCCTGTAATATATTTTTTCGGCAGAGCTTTCGAAGTAAACATCATCGTCAGATATACTAAGTCATGTCTAGAGAATACTGGCACAGAAATTTGGTCATATAATAAAATACTTTGACGATTACTAACAAAAAATACGTCCAGCAGGGTGTCAGTACTTTGTTTTAAGTGAGAAGTGAGTTGGGTAGTCAGAGTTTGCAGCATGCAGACCTATCGCTTTCAAATTGTTTTTTAGCTGGTGCTCTCTCAGAACGTTGCTATTTAGGTCATTTTTCATGTCATTATTCGGTGATTACTACATTGTCATACCCTAATGATATTCTGTCCAGTATTGAGATGGCTTCCGAAAAGTCTGTTGTGCGATTTGGTCTGTAAATGCAGCCAACAAGTAACCTGGACGCTTGTCTTGCTCCCTTTATTTCGAGAAAGATTTACTCTAGTAGACTCTTGTTGGTGTGCTTACTTATTACATTAGATGTCAGGTTAGACTTAACATAGATTGCAACACCCCCAGCATGTCCCTCACGGCCCGAACGAAAAACATTGTATCCGTCACACGTAGTCATAACATCACAGATATTAGATTTAAACCACTTTTCAGACACACAGATGACATCAACATTTGAGTTAGTAAAAAGGTACCTGAATTCATCCATCTTCTTGGTAAGACTTTGAGCATTAATATGACAAATATTTATTCCTAAGTGTTGCTTGCTAAGTATATGGATTAATGCATGACTGCTCGCCTTTGATGTCATGTTACTCTGCATTTTGCAATTAATTTATCCATAATTAAGAGACGCATAGACAAATTCAAAGAGATATTCAGCTTACACATTAAAAACGTACATTAAAACTTAAAGTTATAAAGGAGAAAGAAGTGCAGTAAACTCTTAAGACTAACATTAAATACATAAAGAGAATGGTAAGAGAGACATTTAGCTACGAAAGCTCCCTTGTTGATCGTGTTCTGGGTGATGAGATTGAGATGCATACATGGACAAAAGCTCTTGCATGCTACTAATGCGAACGTAGTTATCGCTCCCAGCCTCTCTCACATGAACAGCGGACAGGCGCGTAAATAATGCGGTGAGCTTTTTTTGCCTTTTTCCTTTTGTTTAAGCGTAGAGGCGTCTCGAAGTCCCACAGTTCAGAATCCCAAGTCGAAATGAAAAGTCCAAGTTTCTTCAATATATTCCTGGGGGTTTTATTCATAATATATATAATATATATATTTATCGCGTGCAAAGAAACCGGCCGTTTTGCTTGGGGGGAAGAAGCGCATTAATTCTAAGTTGCGCTCAAGCTGTCGAGGGCTGTCGGCAGCGAGAGCGTGAGCGTGGGCGGGAGCGTGCCCGAGGTGAGATTACGCGCGAGAGCTCGTCGCCGGGGGGAAAAATGCTCTTAAGTATGAGGGCGAGAGCGAGGGCGACCTCTTGTGTAGCTGGAACGCTAACAGCGATGTGTGGCTGGAATGCCCATAGAGCGGCTGCCCTGCCAGCGCCGTCCTCACTCTGAACATTCTCCCCCCCCTTGCAGGATTGCAAAGATTTTCTTAAGTCTGCGTGCACGCACCAGACACGATCTATCCGAACACCGTTCTTTGAGCCACGGGAAGGCCGTCTGAGCGGGCGAGGAACCCAGGTTGGATGACCCTCGGATACAGATCCGCACCCAAGAGGAGCGAGATGGTCGTCGGCTTATGGAATTGCTCATTGGCCAGCTTCAGGTCGTCGAAGCAAGCACGGACGGTGTCGCTCAGTGGACGGATCGGCGTACGGACGCGCAGACGGGGCTCGATCTTGAAGACTGCCTCCACTTGGAAGTCTCCCGTTTTAGCCCGGATCATGGCGGTACACACCTTCTCGTCCCTGATGCAGGTGGTGGGCAACTTGAACTCCCTGGCCACATCGGTGTCGATGCAGCTGAACGGCGTGCAGGGATCGATCAGCGCACCCATCACCTTAGTGCTCTGCTGCACTGCGAGGACCACCAGTGCCGTCGGGAGGACGTTGATGCCCCGGTGTTGGAGCAAGGAGTTTGCTGTCGGGGCTGGACATCCGATGACAGGGCGGCTGACCGGAAGACGAGGGCGTGGTTCGGCGCGGGAAGGCGACGGTGCCGAAGAGGAGCCAGCAGGGCGCCGAGACCCGAGCAGGTGGAGCAGCGTGTGGTGGTTGCGGGTGCACACCTTACAGAGGTCCCCACTGCGGCAGTCCTTGCCCGAGTGTTCGTGAGCCAGGCAATTAGAGGACGGCTCGGAGTCTCTTCTCTACGCTCAAGCGGATAAATTTCCGGTAGTTCCTTAATAAATGTACTCCTGGGCACACTCGGCATTGGAAGGAGGTATTACCTCGTGTCCGTGTGCGATACGACCTGCGACTGGATCGGGACCGTGAGGAAATTTGCGGGGACATGTCTGGATTCCGGAAAAATACTAGGATGAAAGAAAGGAGTCAAGCAAGCATAAGTAAAGAGCTGGCACGGGTTGTCAACTAATCGAGCAGTGAGATCTTAGAATTACTTAGGAGATACGGAGTGCTAAGCTGGACTTAAGCATAAAAAAAAAGGACGGAGTCTTATGGATCGGAGCCTAAGCGACAGTAGGTGGAATGGACCTCCGATTCCATAAGTAGCAGAACCACCTTCGTGATCGGTCTCTTGATAAGGCCGCGGGCCGTGAGTAGTGACCTTATCATTGGCTCCAGGATACGCGTTCTGTACACGGCCGAGACGCC